GAGCTCACCAGCGAAGGTTGCATCACTAATAACTCATATCATTTTGTCATCGCTGGATGATCGTCTTATTCGATTCCAACTGACAGCAAACAAGTTGTACAGTAATGTGTGTGCCATTATATCATTTATTGTCGAATTGAGTCATGATGTGTCGATATTTGCGTGATAGTACAGATGTTCCTCATTATGTTCCAAGCCTTGATATCATCTTTAAGAACTTGTATAAGAGGGTACAATACAGTACATAAGGCACGAACAGGTCAGTAACAAGTATAAATTACAATGCAACACCAGTGTAAGCCATCAAAAGTGATATAGGTAGTCTCTGTCGTCGTCTTTCATGTACTGGCGAGAAATAATTGGTACATTGTGATTTATACTGCACTTAAAATATAAATGTGTCAGTTATTTCTCGCCATCCTATATGTATCAATATCGGCAGACTATCATAAAGATCTACTGTACTGTGTTCATACTCCACAACTGGAAGATTGATTGTCATTATTTTATTGTTGTCTGGTGTACAGACCAACAGAGAGTACAATACAGTACATGAATTAAGTTGTTGAAGTGTAGACGGTCATGCACAGAGAGATCAACAAATCACTGTGAACATGAGCAAACACATGACCACCTCCAGACCGGCGGTGAAAAGGCCAACGGCAGAGTTTTGACAAGGAAAAACGGGCTTAATTATTCGATGAGCCTCTAGACTTTTATCCTGTCCTAACATTTACAATAGTTACTTATAAATAACCGTAGTAACACACATTTATATAACACTATTCTAACATACATTTAACATTTAACATTATTTTAACACTGCATATAACACTATCCATCCTACGATAATGAACACTTGAGTGTCATATGCGTTCAACAAGTACTATAATTCCAAATGTAAGCTTCAGGGTTTTTTTTCTTCATAGTTTCGTTGTTATTTCAATCTGTACAGAGCAACAGGATTTTACCACAAGGCGGGAGTTGCTTAACGCCTTCATTATCTTCCTGATGCATGATAAATACTGATAACCTTAACAACAGACACACACCATAATGATAAAACTATCCTCGAACTCGGGTTTGTTAGACAGTAATGTAATTGTGAAAAATGCGTGTTAACTGCCTTGAGTCCAATTGTGTGTTAAACCTGTTATTAAACTAGTTCCCTGGTGTCATGCAGATAGACGACAGGTGTTTCTGTGTCAATACAACCTAAATCTTGACTGTGTGTTTATGCCATTTTCTCCTGACATTCATTGTTATGCAATTTACCCTGTTTGGCTAGTAAGATTTTCCCTGCCCTCCAGTTATGTTACCGGACATGATTTTTTCCTTGCCCGCGTGGTAAAACTGGGTAATTTACCAGATGACGGCGCTGGTCGCAGATTTTTTTCTCGTACTTCATTTCAGGAGTGATTTTCATTATCATTTAAATTAAAGTTATAAGCTTACCGACGGATATCAAAGTAAGCTGAAAGGTGTGTACTTTGAGGTGTCGCTTTAGAGAAATACTGTAACTACTTTACTCTCGTGACCATAACACATACAGTACAGTCTCTTTGATTAATAAGAGTGAAATGATTTGTAACGCTGTTGAATGTGGGCTGAGTGGACCTATGTGACTCGGTGAGTGGTGCTTCCTCGTAGGTGCACGCAGTACAAGGCACTATATCACATGAAGGACGCCGCCCTCTTCTCGTGTCACTTCTTGCTGAATTCTTAAGATGAGCTCTTACCAACAACAAACATCATGGCGTAAAACATTTATTGTAGATTTATTTTGCTGTTATTATTTCGTTTTAACACCTAAGGTTTTGCGTGAATTCTAGATTAGCAAATACACTAAATCATCATCAATGTTTAAAAATTATGAGGAACACATATCATTGGGTATATGACACTATAATATGTTAAGTAAATATATACGTTATCCCCAGAATATATATCGTAGACGTAAATAGAATCACCGAGATTTACCGAGGTAGCGCACACCCCAAACAGGAAAACTTTTGGCGCCATAATTACTGTATGTGCTGCCAAACGTATACTATTAGTTAAAGAATTGTTCTCATGACTAGGAATCCGGCCCAGAATTAACCACAATTTAATAGCTCTTCATTATACACTTCCCTTTACTAAACAATTGTTACTTCATCAGCTTAGGTCGTCATAGAAGCCTTGTTAGGATGGATCTGAATACAGTAGAATCGTCTTTTTAATGCGTATAAGTGAAGGTAACGTGTTAAGCGGTGTTTGTACTTTTGAAATATATCTGGATATTCAAGTCTGAACGCTTAAGAAATGCATTTAGATTTTCCTTATAGAGAGTGATTTCTTAAGAGCATAGTGTTTTAGTATTCTTGTGGATCGCTACTGTTTGAGAGCGTGTGTGTGTGTGTGTTTGAATAACTAGCAACTGTACAGTACATGCATTAAACTGAACATTCCCATCCTCGTGTATGTATACTTCTTGAAGAAAATTTAATGAATTATATCAAAATGCAGCATATATGATTACTTTTAACACTACTATTAGTAATCAGAACGAAAATGACTGAAACAGATGCTGGTATTTCCCGTCCCGATCTCATTCTTGGTAAAAAAAAAAAAACAAGGGTTTTCCTCAAATTTTCGTCAGCATCAGTGTTTGTCTGTTTTTCTCTAACGGAAATATAATAATTATGATAAATTAAATGTGATGTAACGTTTAGGTCAATTTATGACTTGCTTTTAAAAGACACGTTTTGATTTTCTACACACACAAATATGGCGTCGAAATTACTCAGAAACTACTATAACCAGATTGTGCGTGGATGGAAGAGGGTGAAAGAGGAAGAAGAGAAAGAGTAGGACAGCAATAGAAATATGAACAGACCCTTTACACTGCAACACACTCACATGTTACCTTTACGAAACCAATAACAAAGACCAACTTAAGTCTCATGTCGATCTAAACGTCACTGCCACGTTATATGATGGTGTAAATGTTATTCGAGTCACCAGGAAAATTTTGTTTAGGAGGGAGGATTAATGATCATACAAGACCTACTATCATGTATGAAGAATCTGATTATTTTGGTCCCTTGTGTGTGTATGGCCAATCCCTCTACCTTGACCCGATCTTTGCTGCTTATCTCATAGTGTCTTGGCCATTCTCTAAGAACTATTCAACCTTGAAGAACAAAACACGTATATACACATACAAACTGAATGTGTGTTGAGCCGCTGTAACTAGTGTGTGCTTTTTGTGAGTGATTAATATTGTTAGTTATTATGACGAGTTATTAATTATGATTAATTTGAGAAGGAAGGGAATAGTGAATTAGAGAGGGAGGGAAGGAAGGAAAGGAGGAGGTCGAAAGGGGGAAAGGAAGAAGTAGAAAGGGAGGGAAGGAAGGAAAAGAAGAAGTAGAGAGGGAGGAAAGGAAGAAGTAAAGAAGGAGGGAAGGAAGGAAAGAAGGAGATAGAGAAGGAAGTAGAGAGGGAAGGAAAGGAGGAGATAGAGAAGGAGGGAAGGAAGGAAATGAAGAAGTAGAGAGAGAGGAAAGGAAGAAAAGGGGGAGACAGGGAAAGAAGGGAAGGAACAAGTAGAGAGGGAGGAAAGGAAGAAGTAAAGAGGGAGAGAATGAAGGAAAGGAGATTGAGAAGGAGAGAAGGAAGAAGTAGAGAGGGAGGAAAGTCGTCTTGGTTCTTTAATTATGGCGATTTCTTGTAAATTACC